AGTTTAAATTATTTTTTTTCTAAACACAACATGATGCAACTTATTAAAGTATAAAATGGTATAATTATAGTTAATTGAAATTAGATTTCAGTTTGGAAAAGCTAAAGTTTCACGAAATGAAATAGATATCAAAATGATAATTACTTAAATTTACAAATAATGTCTGCTTTCTTATTATTTTTTTTTTTTGAAAATTCTGACCAATGTACAAATAATTTTATCTGACTGCTACAAAAGTAAAATAAAAATTTACACATAACTAAAGAATGGAGTAAACATAAAGTTAGCAATAAATGAATATGAAAAAGCATTAAATATATAGAGAGGAGATGAACGTAAAGAAAGAATATAAAAAACAATTATTGGATCCATCTTAAAGTTTTTCAAACTTTTAAGTATACAGAATACGTTGTTTAAAGTTTAAATTATTTTTTTTCTAAACACAACATGATGCAACTTATTAAAGTATAAAATGGTATAATTATAGTTAATTGAAATTAGATTTCAGTTTGGAAAAGCTAAAGTTTCACGAAATGAAATAGATATCAAAATGATAATTACTTAAATTTACAAATAATGTCTGCTTTCTTATTATTTTTTTTTTTTGAAAATTCTGACCAATGTACAAATAATTTTATCTGACTGCTACAAAAGTAAAATAAAAATTTACACATAACTAAAGAATGGAGTAAACATAAAGTTAGCAATAAATGAATATGAAAAAGCATTAAATATATAGAGAGGAGATGAACGTAAAGAAAGAATATAAAAAACAATTATTGGATCCATCTTAAAGTTTTTCAAACTTTTAAGTATACAGAATACGTTGTTTAAAGTTTAAATTATTTTTTTTCTAAACACAACATGATGCAACTTATTAAAGTATAAAATGGTATAATTATAGTTAATTGAAATTAGATTTCAGTTTGGAAAAGCTAAAGTTTCACGAAATGAAATAGATATCAAAATGATAATTACTTAAATTTACAAATAATGTCTGCTTTCTTATTATTTTTTTTTTTTGAAAATTCTGACCAATGTACAAATAATTTTATCTGACTGCTACAAAAGTAAAATAAAAATTTACACATAACTAAAGAATGGAGTAAACATAAAGTTAGCAATAAATGAATATGAAAAAGCATTAAATATATAGAGAGGAGATGAACGTAAAGAAAGAATATAAAAAACAATTATTGGATCCATCTTAAAGTTTTTCAAACTTTTAAGTATACAGAATACGTTGTTTAAAGTTTAAATTATTTTTTTTCTAAACACAACATGATGCAACTTATTAAAGTATAAAATGGTATAATTATAGTTAATTGAAATTAGATTTCAGTTTGGAAAAGCTAAAGTTTCACGAAATGAAATAGATATCAAAATGATAATTACTTAAATTTACAAATAATGTCTGCTTTCTTATTATTTTTTTTTTTTGAAAATTCTGACCAATGTACAAATAATTTTATCTGACTGCTACAAAAGTAAAATAAAAATTTACACATAACTAAAGAATGGAGTAAACATAAAGTTAGCAATAAATGAATATGAAAAAGCATTAAATATATAGAGAGGAGATGAACGTAAAGAAAGAATATAAAAAACAATTATTGGATCCATCTTAAAGTTTTTCAAACTTTTAAGTATACAGAATACGTTGTTTAAAGTTTAAATTATTTTTTTTCTAAACACAACATGATGCAACTTATTAAAGTATAAAATGGTATAATTATAGTTAATTGAAATTAGATTTCAGTTTGGAAAAGCTAAAGTTTCACGAAATGAAATAGATATCAAAATGATAATTACTTAAATTTACAAATAATGTCTGCTTTCTTATTATTTTTTTTTTTTGAAAATTCTGACCAATGTACAAATAATTTTATCTGACTGCTACAAAAGTAAAATAAAAATTTACACATAACTAAAGAATGGAGTAAACATAAAGTTAGCAATAAATGAATATGAAAAAGCATTAAATATATAGAGAGGAGATGAACGTAAAGAAAGAATATAAAAAACAATTATTGGATCCATCTTAAAGTTTTTCAAACTTTTAAGTATACAGAATACGTTGTTTAAAGTTTAAATTATTTTTTTTCTAAACACAACATGATGCAACTTATTAAAGTATAAAATGGTATAATTATAGTTAATTGAAATTAGATTTCAGTTTGGAAAAGCTAAAGTTTCACGAAATGAAATAGATATCAAAATGATAATTACTTAAATTTACAAATAATGTCTGCTTTCTTATTATTTTTTTTTTTTGAAAATTCTGACCAATGTACAAATAATTTTATCTGACTGCTACAAAAGTAAAATAAAAATTTACACATAACTAAAGAATGGAGTAAACATAAAGTTAGCAATAAATGAATATGAAAAAGCATTAAATATATAGAGAGGAGATGAACGTAAAGAAAGAATATAAAAAACAATTATTGGATCCATCTTAAAGTTTTTCAAACTTTTAAGTATACAGAATACGTTGTTTAAAGTTTAAATTATTTTTTTTCTAAACACAACATGATGCAACTTATTAAAGTATAAAATGGTATAATTATAGTTAATTGAAATTAGATTTCAGTTTGGAAAAGCTAAAGTTTCACGAAATGAAATAGATATCAAAATGATAATTACTTAAATTTACAAATAATGTCTGCTTTCTTATTATTTTTTTTTTTTGAAAATTCTGACCAATGTACAAATAATTTTATCTGACTGCTACAAAAGTAAAATAAAAATTTACACATAACTAAAGAATGGAGTAAACATAAAGTTAGCAATAAATGAATATGAAAAAGCATTAAATATATAGAGAGGAGATGAACGTAAAGAAAGAATATAAAAAACAATTATTGGATCCATCTTAAAGTTTTTCAAACTTTTAAGTATACAGAATACGTTGTTTAAAGTTTAAATTATTTTTTTTCTAAACACAACATGATGCAACTTATTAAAGTATAAAATGGTATAATTATAGTTAATTGAAATTAGATTTCAGTTTGGAAAAGCTAAAGTTTCACGAAATGAAATAGATATCAAAATGATAATTACTTAAATTTACAAATAATGTCTGCTTTCTTATTATTTTTTTTTTTTGAAAATTCTGACCAATGTACAAATAATTTTATCTGACTGCTACAAAAGTAAAATAAAAATTTACACATAACTAAAGAATGGAGTAAACATAAAGTTAGCAATAAATGAATATGAAAAAGCATTAAATATATAGAGAGGAGATGAACGTAAAGAAAGAATATAAAAAACAATTATTGGATCCATCTTAAAGACAACTTTTAAGTATACAGAATACGTTGTTTAAAGTTTAAAATAATTTTGTTCTAAACACAACATGATGCAACTTATTAAAGTATGAAATGCTATAATTATAGTTAATTGAAATTAGATTTCAGTTTAGAAAAGCTAAAGTTTCACGAAATGAAATGGATATCAAAATGATAATTAATTAAATTCAAAAGTAATGTCTGCTTTCTTATTGTTTTGAAAATTCTGACCAATGTACAAATAATTTTACATGCAACAGTTAATCCTGACAAACCTAAAATAAAAATTTACACAGAACTAAGGTAAGGGCTAAACATAAAGGTAAGTGCATAAAAATGTTGATATACTTTGTATTAAATTACAGTTTTACTATTCGAATGCAAATTATTAAAATATGAAATAGTTTAAATGATTAATTAATAAGAATTCAATTTTGAATACAAAAATTTCGAAGATAAGAATTTATTAATTAGGTGCAGTTATAGATTATGCGATGGTAAATGGAAGAGGGTGGAAAAAATATTGAATTTTTCAAGTTAAAAGAAGCACCTACGATTAGAAAGTGTGTTGAAAGTAGAAAGAAATGAAAGAGTAAGTGAACAGGTATATGGAGAAGTGTTTGACTGAGGGAAGGAAGCAACAGGAGATTTTAGGAACAGAGTGGAAGAAAGGGTTGAAGGGATTGAGGATTGGAAAGATATGATTAATATGATAAGAGAAAGCATGATTGTTTAGATAATAAGGGTAATTGATAGGAGTAAAAAATGGTGAATCGAGGGTAGTTGTTGAAAGGAGAGAAAGGACTATAAAGATGCATTGAACAGATGGAGGAGTGAATGTGGATAGAATAAGTATAAAAAAACAATGATTTGAGTATAAAAAGAAGCAAAGATAAAATAATAAATGATTTAAGTATACAGAATACGTTGTTTAAAGTATAAAATATTTTTTTTCTAAACACAACATGATGCAACTTATTAAAGTATAAAATGCTATAATTATAGTTAATTGAAATTAGATTACATTAAATAGTTTTTTTTTGTTGCAGGGTCCGCCTCGCACCACTTCAGTTCTTCGTCAACGCCGTGAGGACATGAGGTTCCCAAATCAGCAATCCAAACGGTCACAATCAACATTATCAACGATAGGAAGGTACACAGATCTTGGTTTCCCATCGCTATAATTTAAGAAAAAAATATAGATGTCAAAGCTGGTCCACCTAGACCAGTTTTTAACTAGCTCTTCAAGTCCCAAAAGATATTCCACCATCCTGTTTCATACTTTCTTTCGTACTGCCGTTTGTTCTTAATTCCATTCAACACCTCGTTTTTTACCTTTTCCATCTACAATATTTTCATGTTCTTTGTATAATACAACATATTCTTTTAACCTTGCTTTTCGCAGCGTCCACTTTACGTTTAGAACCCTTATTTAATTGGTTAACCAAATATTGTATGAAAATGACTTTAAAAATAGTAGGTAAATTAAATATTTTTTCGTAATATTTTGGGAATTTTTCGAGGATAATAATAATAATTTCACGTTTAAAAGTTTTTCCGTGTGAAAAATGTTTTCCAATTTTCTTTACAGTTACATTATTAGAGTTGCAATATTGGCTGTATGTTGGGTTGTGTATATGTCACGTTACAAGTTGTGTTTTAATTTATTATTCAAAAAAATATAANTTCATCTAACAAATAGATACAAAAGGAACATTTTTCTAAAATATGAAAACTATTTAACTAAAGGACTTTTCAATAAATCCACTTTTATTTACACATTAATAATCTGAATTAAAAAATGAGCCTATAATATAAAATTATTAGTTTCCTTTGCATCAGCAGAAGAAGGTAGAAGATTGTAGATTGATTCAAGAACGTAGTCAAATTTCAAAACGAATTTCTCATCATGGCAGCTGCAACAGGAAGAAACAGTTGTAAACTAAAGATTAAAAACTTTACAAGAGTTCTAATTGCAAATTAATTACCTTTTTCTATGTTTGTGACATCCAATTCGTCCACCTTCCTCCATTAGCAACACAACTGAAGGTGTCTGAAGAAAATTCTAAAACAAAAACCGCATTGTGTTCTTATTTCAATTCAAATGTTAAATTTATTTAAACAAATTAAACAATCATTTTCGATGCTGCTGTTTTAACTACAACTACCTATTGGAACCATAAAATGGTCCACATTTCAACGCATAAGACGCCTTGCTGGGGGACAAAATGAAATTTCTAGTTTTGTCAAAAAATCACATGATGCTTTCCATTTTACAAATGCAGACCTTAATTTATTTAATTCACCTTAACAACTTGTAGTTCCAATTTCAAATTTATTGGAACTACCTCAAAGAAAACTTTTCACAGCATAGATTTTAAAGTAATTCTTTACAATAAGTACAGAATATGACACAACTTATTAAATATATAAAATACTTGAACTTGTACTTAAAATTGAAAATTTAGATTTTAGTTTTACTCATGCCTGAAAGCTATTTAACTTAAGTATTTTTTAATAAACCTACATTTGTTTATACATTAAGGAAGTTAATTAAAAATTGAGGTATAAAAATCATTAATTTCCCTTACATCAGTAGAAGACTTATGGTTCATGAATACACTCAAATTTCAGAACGTAATTATCATCACAGAAGATGCAACAAGAAAATCATTTATAAAACATAAATGAAAAAGTTTTGAGGGGTTTTAATTATAATAACTTACCCTTCTCCTACGTTTGTAAACTCAATTTCCTCCATTACCTATCCAGTAGCAGAAGAGACCATCTATGTCCTCAGAAAATTCTAAAAGAAAAAACAATTACGCTTTTTATTTCAAAGACGATTGATTCAGTTAGTGTTTTAGTTCCAAGTAATAATTCATTGAAATAATCATGAAGAGTATTTTTCTTTAAGACAGGTACAGAATATGACACAACTTATTAAAATATAAAATGCTTGAACTTGTACTTAAAATTGAAAATTTAGATTTTAATTTTACTCATACCTGAAACCTATTTAACTTAAGTAGTTTTTAATAAACCTACATTTGTGGAGATGAACGTAAAGAAAGAATATAAAAAACAATTATTGGATCCATCTTAAAGACAACTTTTAAGTATACAGAATACGTTGTTTAAAGTTTAAATTATTTTTTTTCTAAACACAACATGATGCAACTTATTAAAGTATAAAATGGTATAATTATAGTTAATTGAAATTAGATTTCAGTTTGGAAAAGCTAAAGTTTCACGAAATGAAATAGATATCAAAATGATAATTACTTAAATTTACAAATAATGTCTGCTTTCTTATTATTTTTTTTGAAAATTCTGACCAATGTACAAATAATTTTATCTGACTAATACAAAAGTAACATAAAAATTTACACACAACTAAAGAAAAGAGTAAACATAGAGATAAGTGAATAAAAATGTTGATATACTTTAGATTAAATCACAGCTTTGCTGTAAGAATGCAAGTTATTAAAATATGAAACACTTCAAATTATGAATTTACCAAATTACCAAGAATTCAAAAGTTTCAAAGATAAGAAGGCAAACAGTTCATCTAACAAATAGATACAAAAGGAACATTTTTCTAAAATATGAAAACTATTTAACTAAAGGACTTTTCAATAAATCCACTTTTATTTACACATTAATAATCTGAATTAAAAAATGAGCCTATAATATAAAATTATTAGTTTCCTTTGCATCAGCAGAAGAAGGTAGAAGATTGTAGATTGATTCAAGAACGTAGTCAAATTTCAAAACGAATTTCTCATCATGGCAGCTGCAACAGGAAGAAACAGTTGTAAACTAAAGATTAAAAACTTTACAAGAGTTCTAATTGCAAATTAATTACCTTTTTCTATGTTTGTGACATCCAATTCGTCCACCTTCCTCCATTAGCAACACAACTGAAGGTGTCTGAAGAAAATTCTAAAACAAAAACCGCATTGTGTTCTTATTTCAATTCAAATGTTAAATTTATTTAAACAAATTAAACAATCATTTTCGATGCTGCTGTTTTAACTACAACTACCTATTGGAACCATAAAATGGTCCACATTTCAACGCATAAGACGCCTTGCTGGGGGACAAAATGAAATTTCTAGTTTTGTCAAAAAATCACATGATGCTTTCCATTTTACAAATGCAGACCTTAATTTATTTAATTCACCTTAACAACTTGTAGTTCCAATTTCAAATTTATTGGAACTACCTCAAAGAAAACTTTTCACAGCATAGATTTTAAAGTAATTCTTTACAATAAGTACAGAATATGACACAACTTATTAAATATATAAAATACTTGAACTTGTACTTAAAATTGAAAATTTAGATTTTAGTTTTACTCATGCCTGAAAGCTATTTAACTTAAGTATTTTTTAATAAACCTACATTTGTTTATACATTAAGGAAGTTAATTAAAAATTGAGGTATAAAAATCATTAATTTCCCTTACATCAGTAAGAGACTTACGGTTCATGAATACACTCAAATTTCAGAACGTAATTATCATCACAGAAGATGCAACAAGAAAATCATTTATAAAACATAAATGAAAAAGTTTTGAGGGGTTTTAATTGTAATAACTTACCCTTCTCCTACGTTTGTAAACTCAATTTCCTCCATTATCTATCCAGTAGCAGAAGAGACCATCTATGTCCTCAGAAAATTCTAAAAGAAAAAACAATTACGCTTTTTATTTCAAAGACGATGGATTCAGTTAGTGTTTTAGTTCCAAGTAATAATTCATTGAAATAATCATGAAGAGTATTTTTTTTTTAGACNGCCGGGACAATTTAGAACAAAGGCTATAATTGAGCTATATTTCCGGTTTCTTTAAAGTTGCTTGATGAATATTCACCATTGAACAATATATTTTGTATGTACATGCAGTTAGGGATGCTACTTTATTATTTTTCACAATATTTTAAACTTTAATTTGCTATATAACATATAGGCAACCCAACATACAGCAAATATAATTCTAGTAATGTAACACTAAAGGAAGTTAAAAATACAACGAAAATAACTTGTTGGGGGCTGGTAAGGGAGGAAATTATAAAATAAATAGTGGCACTAAATAAGGACACAACGGTTGGGCTGAATGGAATTCCTGGAGAGGCTTGGAGACTTGTAATGGATATAGTATTAGAGAAATTTTTGCAAAATATGTTAGAGTTGTGGAAAGGGAATACGATACTAGAAGCATGGATATAGAATTGGAGAAATTATAGCAAAATATGGTACGGGTGTGGAAAAAGAAAAAGATGTCAGAAGCATGGAAGTGTCGGGCAATTGGTCCGGTATTGAAGAACAGGAAGAGGGAAAGTGCCAAAAGTTACAGAGGTATTATAATTATGGATACAGGGTATAAAATATACACGTACATAATAAGGGGAAGGTAATGAATATACTAATAAAGGTGGGGATAAAAAAGGGGCGAATGTAAAGGATAATGAAGATTTATAAGAAAATAGTAAGGATTAAAAAAGCACATGAAGGTTTTAGATAAAAGATGTATCAAGTGGGTATTGCAATTAAAGAGAAGCACGCCAAAAATGAGGGGAAGATATGGGAAGAAGCGATAAAGGGATAGTAATCAGATGCATGGAAATGATAAGGGGAGAGGATCTAAGAATATGTGAAAGGACTGGCAAGGGGATTAGGTTCCAAAGAATTTAGGAGAGGAGAAATAAACGTGCCAGTGAAATTTAGAACAGGGAATGAGGGGGTGTAAATATAGGAAGAAGGATAAGGACAGGGAGGTACATAGAATGTCTGAATCATGTGTTAGGAGAATGAGTCAAGCGAAGGAAATTTTAAGGAATAGAGAGTTGTATTCTAAAGTCAATTTAAGAAGTATGACAAAGGAAAATAGCGGGAAAGGTTCGAAAAAAAAGGATAAAAAATAAGTGTCGAAAATCTAGAAAATAAATTTGTATTAATAAAGTATAACATTATCAACAATTACGCTTTTTATTTCAAAGACGATTGATTCAGTTAGTGTTTTAGTTCCAAGTAATAATTCATTGAAATAATCATGAAGAGTATTTTTTTTTAAGACAGATAGAGAATATGACACAACTTATTAAAATATAAAATGCTTGAACTTATACTTAATTAAAAATTTAGATTTTGGTTTTACTCATACTTGAAAGCTATTTGATTTAAGTATTTTTTAATAAACCTACATTCGTTTGCACATTAACGAGGTAAATTAAATAATTAAGGTATTAAAATCATTCATTTCCCTTTAATCAGTAGGAGACTCATGGTTCATGAATGCACTTAAATTTCAGAACGTAGCAAGAAAAGCATTTATAAAATATAAATTCAAAGTTTTAAGGAGCTTTAACTTCAACACTTACCCATTTTCTACGTTTGTAAGCTCATTTTCTTCCATTATCTATGCATTAGTAAAAGAACCAACTATGTCCTCAGAAAATTCTGAAAGAAAAAAACAATTGCGCTCTTTATTTCAAAAACAATTAATTTAGTTATTGTTGTAGTTCCAAGTTATAATTTATTGAAATAATCATAAAGAGTATAAAGAGTGGATAAAATGACTTGTTCATTTACTACATGAATGCAAATCATTATTATTAAATTATAAATAAATTATAGAATGNAATACAATTAAATCCTCTGTAGGTAAAAAACGAAATGACTTTCCGAACAACCCAATAGTATATTACATTTTCTAAACAAATTTTAATGCACATCTAAATACACGAAGAGAACTTCAACTTTAATTTAAATTTATACTATTCTTTGCGCAGTTTAAGATATACTTCGACTGGTGCAAGGATTTTCCAGAAAAGTCCTGTCGAATCTGGGTGTATGAATAAATAAAGAAAACTCCATTACTAAATTAACTGAGAATATTTAAAATTAGTATTATATTTATCGAAATTCAGTGAGAACATTTCAATTTATGAAAATGCAAATTTTAAAATACGAACCCTTAAACTACACAATAAAATTTGATAAATCTTCGCTTTGTGTAATACCTCAACTACGTCATTAAAAATATCTACTAATACCTACTTTTAAATTTAAAGTATTTCTCCTAAATATAAGCTTTCCTAATGAATTGCTACCTGAAGCAATTACGTACGTCGAAACAATTTCAGTATAATTTCCTATAAAGGATTAATAAAACTTTAACAAACGCTTACCTTTTATGATGGAATTTTCCCCGAAAGCTCAGGTACATTCCTCACGCTTTTACAACCACCAATTAATATTAATTCAATTTTATCACTTAACGCTCAAATGTGCATATAAAACACTCCAAACTTTAGAAAATTGCATTCGATAAGGACTAAACTGTTCCGAAAATAACAATTGTGATACAAATCACACAACACAACGTCAACATGGTGTCCTGACACGACTAATCAAAGCTTTACACGAGAACGTCCGTAGCAGGATGATAATAAAAATAACAATTATACTGCCAACACTATTTATTAGTATGTATATTCCACTAGCTTTTTACGAAACAAATAAATTTATATGGTTAGCGCAAAAAAGTTTTGGACAACCAATAAATAAATATTAAAAGAGATTGTCACTATTACTCAGATACAAATATTAATTAAGAAAACATATAATTAATTAACTCCTAGTCCTTTCTTTAATTAAGTTTTCAGTAAGTACGAAACCTATTAAAAAAGTTTTTAAAGAAAACAATTCAACAAATACAAAACAAATACGAACAACCAGCAACTAGGACCATTTTAAATAAAGAAGTACTTTTATATCGGTAAGGATTAGGCAAGTAAATTGTGAGGATTTTTCAAATTTATATCATCTGAAGTATCGTTTGAAACAAAGGACAAGTACCTACAAGAAAATTAAAAAAAATGTTCTTCCGAAAATCTTAAAAGTGATATTTCCAGAGATATACGTCAAACAGGATTTAAAGGACCTAATGTAAACTCCGCTTTTACTGACTTAATTGAATTTCAATTTAGAATTTGTTTAATATATGAGAAAGAATAAGACTTCTACTTCGAAGAAATCGTAATAAGTTATTCAAAAATTTTCGAATACGTCATTGACAGCCACAAACTTTTGAATTTATGTCTACCTCCAGTATCTTTTTGTTTAGACCATATATACCGTACATTTCAGTTTTCATATAATTCTAATACAACTATCGTCCTATTGGTGACACATGAATTTATTATCTCTATTTTTTGCTTCAAAATAGTTGACGTGATATCAAGACGTGGTTTATATTCTAAGCCGTGACCTTCCTTACCTTTCACACAATAGAAGAATGAACAGAACAAAAAGCAAACGTATAAAAATTCATTTGCGGTAATATTAAAAATGAAATTAATAAAATTATACCGTAAATTACATGTAATTAACAGCACAGATAGTAACAATTACAATAACCACTAATAAAAATATTAGTGGTAAATACATACGACTGTTCAATATTAACAAATAATAATTCAAAATAGGAATTTTAGTGTAAAACTTCTTTGAAAACCGTTATCTTAACTTGCAGTTTTCTTGGTCTAATGTTCAATATATCTCTCTTCATCAGCATCAATTGTCATCTACACGAATCCCTCACTAGTTGTACACAATATAATCGTTTATACAATATGCACACGTACCAATGTAAATTTGATAGGTAAACATGTCTCTTAATTAGTAACCGATGTCGCTTGTTCTGTGACATTGATTTGGGTGTGGATGTGTTTGCATTTTGGAATGGAGACAATCGGTAAAATTGATGCATCCATAAACTGTGCCTAACGCAGAAAGTTTTTGGACAGATTTTTAGACAGTCTTTGACCAAATTTTCAAAATGAGCATCACGTCTTCTACTATTACATATAACAACACTTTTTGTTAAAAATTTGTCTTAAAGATCAAGTTTTGAAATTCACGATTAAAGGAACATAAATTTAACAACTGTTTTATCTTTTAATAATTCCATGTATATTTATATAAAAGTATGTATTTGTGCAACGCTAAATAAAAATTACGTGTTTGAATAAGACACTAGTCGTTCTGAAAAGTTGCATTTCTTTTTCTACGTAAATAGATATAAATAAATTAGATGCATACGTCTAATCATTTTTGTCGATTGTTTGATAGAAAGAACTAAACAAAACTAAAAGCATTGGCATAGTTATAAAATAGAGTTTCCAGAGATATACTCAATTTAGATATATAGGGTTGTTCGGAAAGTCATTCTTTTTGTGGAAATGAAAGACAGTTTTCGTATAATAAACAAATACTTTATTAAATTATATATTGACCGTTCTGGTCCAACACCTTTTGCCATCTTTCTGGTAGTAGCATAATTCCACGCTCATAAAATTTTTGGTCTTTGCTGGCAAAAAACTGATNTTCTATTAGATTACACATTTACATATTCCCCTGGCTCCCGAAGTCATAAATTACAAAGTTGCTTAATTAAGAATTAAATAACCTCTAATTAACGGTTCGGTATGCTTATTTGAAGCAAGAAATTTAATTTAAGTTACAAATTTTTCACTTTTCTAATGTTTGAGTCGTTATTAAAAGCAATACCTTTTAATACTAGAGAGCATAATATAATGTCACCAAGTAAAACATCTGATTAGATACCTACACCTTCCTAACAAGGTAATGAAACAAACACATCGTTCATAATATTTTTACATAGCGAACTATTCATCATAATTTATCAGTATTAGTGTCACATTTTGCAGAATGTGTTTTGTACACATAAATGACCGAGTTAGTAAAAAAGAAAGGTCCTTATGAGCCCAGGATTTCTACATCAAAAAAGAGAACGTTTCTTTTCAGAAAGATTATGTTCTTGATTGATAGTAGGTAGATTATTTTGTGGCTACGTCAGTTGAACATAATGTAGGTGTAGTCAGAAATTTCGTGGATGTAAAACCAATCGTTCATTTTCGATGACATGGACGAGCGTGACCAGGATGAGTGGACTTACCTTAATCCAAAAATAAAAGGATATAAATCCTTCAACCGTCGGACAAATTGCTTCAGCTCAATTTTACGGCAGTACAGCAACACTGATTGCCTCTTCCGAATTGAAGTGCCCGCCTCGCCAATCCGATTATCTGTCCAACAACGTGTGTGCTATTTACCTACACCCATTTCAAACGTACTACGTAGCTACATAATAACATACACAGAAACAGAATGCAAATTTCATCGCTTTGGGCTTCCGTAGCAGATAGTTATGTACATACATGTATTCGTATGTTATAGAGGAAACGAGATTCTTCGACTTTAATGGCTGCAGCCGCCATGGCGCGATGCGGCCTGTTTAAACAAATAACGCGTATAAAAGCTCGGTTCTGCTTGCCCGCATAACTTCATTAGCAAACGCCCTCTAGTGAACAGTGGTTTCACCGGAGACGTCCTCGGTACAAGGCAGGATAACCTCGATTGCCGCAGGGCCAATTTAGAACTCGGCGGCGTTGTTCCTGAATTTTGCTGGCTCATTAGAGTTACGAACAGAATAAGGACAAAACTGATTACTTTATACTCAACTGACAACTGTCGATAAAATTGTACCAAATTAAGAAGAAATTGAAGCATGAATTCATAAATATTATTCAAGTGACTTAAAATGATCGAGAACGTGAACATATAATAAAATAAACACATAAAATTTCTACAGAATAAAGCAATAAGGGACGTCGAAATCGGTCCAAACAAAATAAAAACCAAGTTCAAATCATACGTTTATTAGAGTATCAGCATATATGTATACAGAGGGAAAATCCCGTTGAATAAAAATTGAAAATGTAAAAAATTAGTAAGAAAATTGTTTTCAATCTCTCAAAGCACTTCGGATAGATAAGACATGGGTGTTTTGAGTATTATCACCGCTTCCACCAAACTATTTCGAGAAGCGTCAGCACCAAATTTCAACTACAGAACTAAACCAAACGTGCATCTCAATTTCGATTTTTTTAAATCTTATCAACACGCCATAGGCAATCTTGATAAATTATCGACCAAATCGAAGAAGTTCTTTAAAAAGAAATTGATATATCTACTCATGGGAATATATTTTACTATCTACTGATATCAGATGCAAATTGAAGTATTTTATATGTTAAACAGGCGCCTTTTTCTGAGAGGTATTTACTTCAAATAAATAAAAGCACTATAACTTCTTCATCAGTAGTTTAATTTGGTTTCCAGTAGTACAGTAAGGCCCTTGTCTAACATAAAATTGTTTAATTAACAGCTGATATCGTAGCAGATGGTGATACATTGCTATAATTAAATATTACGTACACCTGTATTTTGTAATGTGACGTAGAGGTAGGTACATATTAATGACGATAAGGCACGATACTCATCGTTAAAGATAAGTGATCTTAAAAAGTAGGTAGCAAATATTTTATGCGATAAAAGAGAAGTACCTACCTACAAGAAGACCACAACTTCAG